ATTCTCACACCAATTCATTCTGTCCTGTCTTTACAAATGAACTGATTATGCTGTATCAGTGGTGTGAGTTCAGGCTCTGATTGACAGGTAACAACCAAACCACAGATAAAAATAGTTTAAGCAAAAATGGGCACTTGCTTGTTCCCTCGAATCATTGGAGAAGATTCTAGACCAGAGCAGTTTCAGGCACAGCTGGTTGAGGGGCTCCAGCACTGTTTTCAAACTTCCCACTCTTCCTGTGGCCACGTTGCCTTCCTCTGCATGTTTATTTCATTCTCAGACAAACCTGGGGGGAACGAAATCCGTGAGGCTTACAAAGCCACAGTCTAAGAGGCAGCTCAAGGTATTGTGACTAGCTTAGCCTCAGCTGTGTGCTGACCTTGCCCAACCACTGTGTTCATTAGAATGTTTTCTGTGAGTAATGAAGATTGAAAGCGGAGCTGACTTCAAATAGTTTTATTTCTCACACAATAAACATCCATACGTAAGCTGTCCAAGGTACAGCATCCTGGCTCTGTGTCCATCTCAAGAATCCAGACAATTTCTGTCTTATTTTTTCCATGTCACCTCATGATCCCTAATGGCAGGTCCCCTTCTGGAATCAAGCCTTTATCAGACCCATAAAGGAAGTGACTAAGGGTATGTGCCAAGACTCTATAGAAAAGCTCCCAGAAGCTGACAGGTAGAGTTTCTGTCTCGGTTCTCATGGCCAAACTTAAGCATGCAGTCCCCCTTCCTGTAAGGAAGGTGCAGGTGTGGAAGCTGTGCTCTTGGAGGCCATTCTGGCAGCCAGGGCTCAGGGGGTCGATGCCTGAGCAAAGAGGGAGAGTGGCTGTGGGTGACCATTTTGCCTGGTCTGAAAAATCTGTCTCTGCCTCATCCCGCTTCCCTTTCTCTCTCTCCTCACTCCCTCTTCATGAACTCTCTTTAGACTTTGCTTTGTGTTTGTTTGTTTGTTGTTTGTTTGTTTGTTTTGTTTTGTTTTTAAGACAGCTGGGCTGGACTCAAACTTGCCACGTAGCTGAATTCCTTGAGCTCCTGCCCCTCCTGACTCTGCTTCCTAAATGCTGGGATTATAGGCATGAGCCCTCACATGGTTGGACTCTTTCTTTTTTCTAAAATTCTCTGGATGACAGAGAAATCCTTAAATGTTGCTGGTGATTTTCATGGAGCTGGTGAGTCACACATGGTTCCAACAGTCTAGGTCCTGAGGGAAAGCTAAGATCCAGATGAAGCCATGCCATAATCCATTCTGAAATTCTAGTACTAACCCTGGGCAACATTGTGAACAGCTGTCTTCAGACTGGTACCTCACCAGGAGCTCTGTCTCTTACATACACATACATGTGCCTCAATACATGCATCACAAATGTTACAGGGCTTTTCTCCCTCACCAAATATTTCAAGTCAATATTCATGTACATGTGCACACACATACACAAGCACACGCACATGCATGCACACATCCTATTGGACTGTCTTCTCAAATCTTTTGTCATTTTCTTTCACATCACTACTTATTAGAGGTCACCAGCATCCCACCCCACTGTCTTCCATCCATACTCACTAGGGTTTTCAATATTTTGGTAAATAGTACTCACAACCACAGAATAAACATGATACATCTTTTTGGAAATTTATTTTGCCTAGAAATTTTGGAGAAATATTTTTGGAATATATTAAAGATCACATAATTCTTTTAGTTACATTCATAAACTGGAATGAATTTTTCTGTATGAAACTGTGTGTTTTGACAACGAAGTGGAGATCTTTCTTAAACGTTGGAACCTCATTTAATTTTATGTCTTATAGAGTTTATAATGAGTAAAAGATTGTATAAGCGTAATAATCCATCTGTAAACCTAAAAATGTACAGCCAATTTTGAAAGAGATGTACCCTAGCTCAGAAAAATGTTATTGAATAGGTTAAGGCTGTTGTAATGAAATGCTTCTTCTAATTAAAAATAAAAAAATAAAAAATATATATATAAAAAGAAATATGAATAGATGGATATTTAGACAAAATGCCTGCCTGTATTTAAGTACACCCATGTGTGCAGTATCCATGGAGGCCAGAAGAGGGCACTGGGTCTCCTGGATCTGGAGTTATGGACAATTATTAGCTGCTATGTGGGTGCTGGGAACAGAACCTGGGTCCTCTGCAAGAGCAGCCATTGCTCTTAACCACCCCTAGATTATCCTATATTTTGTAGGATCCTCCCAACACCTAGCTTTTCTGAAGCCCATTGAGAACAATAGATTCTGCTCTTAAGTGACCTCAGGACCCACCTCTTGCACATGTGCTCACTAGAATCTCCTTTCTGTACTCAGGATAAGGAGGTTTATTTGAGGCATCTCAAGGTCCTATCACATCATGTGATAGATGTGGTAATTCAGGAGAAAGAAGGGTTTCATGAAGGAAGGTGTAAGGCAGTCATTTGCCCAAAAATGGGCCAAGATGGATTCCCCACTGTATGCAGCATGACTGAAATCCATGGCCCAGAGGAGATCAAGGAATGGTCACTCTGAAGCTTGCTAGCATTTGATGATCCTCATTGAAAATCCAAGAAAATCTACTAAAATTTCAGCTTGGCTGGGGCTGGAGAGATGGCTCAGTGGCTAAGAGCACTGGTTTCTCTTGCAGAGGACTGAGGTTCAGTTCCCAGCACCCACATGGTAGCTAACAACTCTTCCTAACTCCATTTCCAGGGGATCCAACAACCTCTTCCGATCTCCACAAGCATTGCACTGCATGGGTGCATTTTCATGCATGCAGGAAATATACTCATACACATAAAATAAAATAAAAAGTAATAAAATATATTTTTTAAATTATAAAATGGGAGAAAGGCTCAGGAAGTCCCACACCTAACTGATGAACTATTAGAATTGATGGCTGCTGTGAGAGGGAGAGTCAGTTTTCTTCACAGATGTTGCCCCATGCTCCAATGGATGGCCCTACATCCATGCATATACTGGTAACACTAAGTAGTCTCAGCAGGTTTTTTAAAAGAGTGCATGTAGATGTGAGAGAAAAGTCATGGAGGAGAGTGTGGGAAGTGTTCAAGGAGAGGCAGTGGAGGGTAGATTTGACCAAATACATTATATGCCTGTATGAAATTCCCAACTTATAAAGTAATAAATTAAAACACATTAAATACATCTAAATATAAAATAAAAAGTCTAAGAAATACTTATGACAAGTGTCTCAGCAGTTGGAATTGGTAAGGTTGAGTGGCGGGAGGGAATTGAGGATTATTTCTGCTGGACAGATTAGCAAACTAAGACCAAGAACAGTTGAAGTGATTTCTTACTAAAATAGTAGCTAGACAGCTAGGTCCAAGCCTGTTTCCAGGATGCCCGACTTGCAGATCTACCCTCAATGCCCCCAGCAGTGGTTCTCAAAGTATGGTCCAGGAGGCTGTCATCATCATCATCATCATCACCTCCACCACCACCACCTGGGAACCTGTTAGCAATGCAAATTAGTACACCCACTCCAGGCCTACCACACTATAAACCCTGGGATGAGGCTGTGCATCGGTATCAACTGCAGGGGCTGCTCATTTGCCTCAAGTTAGAGAGCCAGTTACAGACTTTGTCCTCTGGGTCATTTGTCACTTGCTACAAGCTAGTCTCGTATTTGTGCCTTGAAGAGACTCTTCCTTACCCTTCATATTTGCTTCCAGTGCATTTTAACTCTATGGAAATGTAATAAATTCTTTGTACCTAAGAAGTCTGGTCAATGAGATCCCGGGCCACTCAGGCACCTGGGAATCTTTCCTGTTAATTAAACATCAAAAGTCAGCTCTTTGCCAATTGGGGAGGGGAATCTTAGGTCCCCTTTATCTAGATCTACCTTGGAACTTTCTTGCCTCAACTATGTTGTAACATCTTAGAAACTATATAAAGAAAAAATAAAAACACATCTTTAAAGTTCTTTATACATGAATAGCATAGAAAATAAACAACTCCTCCTCCTTCCTCCTCCCTCCTCCTCCCTCCTCCTCCTTCTCCTCCTCTTCCTCCCCCCCTCTCCTCCTCCTCCTCCTCCTTCAGGTTTTCATTTAGCCCTGGCTGGAACTTGTTGTATAGCTGAGGATGACCTTGAACTCCTGATCCTCCCACCTGTACCTCCTGAGTGGTGGGATTACAGGTAGGTACTATCAGTTAATATGGTGTTGGGGAACAAACCTAGGGGCTTCATGAATGCTAGACAAATATTCTACCAGCTCAGCTACATCCCCACTCTGCAAATAAGGTTTAACAATTTAGAATCTGTGAAAAGGGTATTGGGCATCTCCATCCCATCCCAACACACACACACACACACACACACACACACACACACACACAATGGGCATATAGAACACACCAGTTACATCTTTATTGGATTTATTAAGCTCATCCCTTAGAATCAGAAGAATGAAATAAATGCTGTGGAAACCTAGCTGGCCAGAGGAATCATCATTAAAATCATTTCATAAGACTTTAAGCGAAAATTGAGTATTTGGTTCTAACACACCCACATATGGATTTTTTACCACATATGTCTTATGATCTGAAATTGAAACAAAACTCTCTAGAGCACAGTTGTTCTTTCATGCACTGCTTTATTCATTTAATACTTACTAAGGGCCCACAGTGTGCCAGACAAGCACACTTCTAACACTGGGACCAGCATGGTAGTGGAGGATAACATGTCCCCACCCTATTGAAACTTAAGATTGAAGGGAAAGATGGTCAGCTAAGCAAGTGATTTCTAATTAAGCATGATGACTACTGTCACAGGACACAATGAATACCGCAGAAGTGCACAGAAAGGGTAACAACCACACCTGGGCAGAAACATAAGGGTTCCACAGGAAGTTAGAGGTCTTGGTTCTTGAAGGTCCTTTTGAACAAAGTTGATAAAAATTGCCACATGCTGCACTGACCACAGGAATGGTGGTCTGAGTGGAGGATGAACTTCTGCAGTCTGTCAGATATCAGCAGGTGGTTCACTTCCTCAGCTTTTGGAAAGTGTTGGAGAACACAGCGAAGATCAAGATGGTTATACCAGCAGCACCTCCAATCACCAGGCCCAGCACACTGCCATGTACCTGCATGGCCTGACAGCGCTCACCCGTGTAGAAGAAGGCATGTCCAGAGACGCACCTGAGGGACAGTACACAAGACAGTGTGGAAAATATCTGAGCCTTAGGTGCTTTCTAGCAACAAGACCCACCAATAACAGCACTAACAGTAATAAAACAATTACTGTGCACTGTTGTCTGGCCCCATTCAACAACTTTATATGTATCAATTAACCCCATCGTGGCCTTTTAAAATACAGACTATAATCTGACCATTCTTCCCATCTTTATTTAAGTTCAGAAAGGGCAACTAACTTTCTCAGAGTCACATGGTCTGTGTTTCACACCTGAAGCTTAGTCCAAAAAGGAAGATCTGTAGACCCACTTTTCTTGGCCACTTGGAGTTCAGAAGGAAGGTTTGGGTCACTTAAAGAATCAATTACCCAACACTGTCTCAGACTAAGTGCTACACTGGAAGCTCCCCAAAGAGAACCCGAGTTAGTGTGCTTGTTGCAATGCTAAAACTATAGACCACATCAAGTACCTATTACTGTAAGATGCTATCCTGGCAGTTGTCTCTTAAGGTTTCTGGAAGTTCACATGAAATAATGAAGGTACTACACCTGTCAAGGTAGTCGACACACAGTAATGGACAAACCTGGAGAGTTTTGTTTTCTTTGTGAAATTTGGTATTAAAGATCAACAAATGTCAGACTTAAGGCCCTAAGAGTGGGTTTCGCGACTTCCATAATGAGTCTTGGCCTTTGTTTCAAACATCTCAGCTTCAAAGCCTACTGTCTGGTACAGGTTGAGATATTCACAAGTCAAGAGCCATTTTACCATTTTGGCTTTTGGTTTTGGTTTTTTGAGACAGGGCCTCATTATGGGCCGTCAGACTAACTTGGAATTCACTGTGTTGTTCCTGCCGGTCACAAACTGATAGTCCCCTGTATCTCTCAAGTACCAAGATTACAGAATTAAAGAACAGCCACTGTGCTTGGCTATATTTTATCTTTAAAGGACTCATCTCTAGCCTGGGGATTGTCTTATTAAACATCAGTAATAGCAATCAAATGCTCAATATTCTTTCTGACCCAATCTCCCATCAGTTTAATTACATCCCGTGGCATCACCAGAAAGCTTCTTCCACAATGCCTCAGCTGCAGATTTGTGGAAGACAGATACTTTGGTGCTTGAGTGGTAACTCCTGGCCTTCCTATTCTGGGGACAGATGAGGCCAGCCAGGGTGCCTACTGGAATGTGGCACTAAAGGGCCTATCAGGTAAAGGAGCACAGACCTGTGTCTGCAGTCAAAGTGAATATTTTCCAGAGAGGAATCAGAAGCCAGGCATGGTGGCATGCACACCTGCATCCTGATATTTCAGAGGCTGAGGCAGGAGGACACTGAGTTTGAGGCCAATCTAGGCCACAGTGAGAGCGTGCCTCACAAAGGAAGCAGCAAAGGAACCTGAGGCTTCCTTTGAAAAGTGATGATCTGTAGCTCCAATGGGGACAACAGAAAGCATCATGTGTTGCTGGGAAGAAACACTGCTCATGAAAGTATGGGTGAAGCTGAAGAACACAGGGGCAGCCAGTGTCCCTCACTGAACCTGAAGCTTGCTGATTCAAGTAGGTTATCTGACCAGTGTGCTCCAGGGATCCTCCACCTTCCCAGCCCTGGGTTGTAGCTGTACTGTACACCATTGTGCCTGGATTTTTGTATAGTGCTGGGGATCCAAACTCAGGTCCGCAGACTTGTACGGCAAGCGCTTTACCAACTGACCCGTCTCCCTAGCCCCTGCCATCATCTTCTGAGCTATGCTTTTATTAGAGCAGAGCAAACTTGGCTCCGGTGGCTGCCCCCATCTACCACCTGTCACCCTCAGTCACGGGGCCTACCTGCAGCTGGCCATGCCCTTCACGTTCACACAGATGCCTTCATTCTGGCAAGGGTTCAGGTCACATGGGTCTCTGAAGTACTGTGGCCAGTTATGGTCCTCCATGGGGCCTGTGTTCTTCACTGACCGCTTCTGTCGGCTGAGCTGGGTCTGATCCAGGCTGCCTGCTGGCAGGGCTTCCTCCAGATTTTTTCCAGAATCTTCTCCTGAGACCTGTGGCTCCTGGCCTTGGAGAACAAGGTCTCGGGGGATCTGATTTTTGACTGGAATGGGAACTTCAGTCTGGCTCAGGTGGGTGATATCTTCAGCAAACAAACAAGGTGAGAAGACATAAGATTAATAACTAACTCTGCCTCTGAAGAAAGTTCCCTGGGCCACCTCTGTCCCTCATGAATCGCACCTCATGAATCTCACATTTCATGGAAAAGCAGCTTTTCCTCATGATGCCAGCTCTTCTATTTTAAAAACAATCCTGTCACGTTTTTACTTATTGAATTTATACAAAGAAGCATAATCTCATGGGTTCATACTTTGAGGCTAAACTGAAGTCAACCCACTGTCATAATTGATAATTGTCATAAGGGTAATACTTCAAAAATTGAAATTTTGGCTTCTCTCAGGAACAGTTAAAGAGTATAGTTTTCACCATAGAAAACTAAATGGTATTTGAAGAACTGGATACTGTTGCCCTGGGTTGGTGATCATATAAAGATCAGATGTATCAAAATATCACATGATGCACCCTCATGAACAGTGTTTTTACCTAACATTTAAACAACATATTAAAAAAACCAAAAAATATGAATCTTTGATCAATTAAATAAAACGTGGTTGCTATATACAACATTTTAAACAACCTTATTCTTAAAAGAAATCTCCACTTCCCTGATGTGTTTTCAAATAAATGTAAATTAGGGGCTGGAGAGATGGCTCAGCGGCTAAAAGCAAAGCACTGACTGATCTTGCAGAGGATGAGGGCTCAATTCCTAGCACCCACATGGTAGCTAACAACCATCCATAACTACAGTTCCAGGGGACTCTGACGCCCTCTTCTGCCCTATGTGGGCATTGCAGGACACAGGTGCACTTACATACATGCAGGCAATATATTCATACACATAAATAAAAATAATAAATAAAATATTAAAAAATAAATATAGATCAATCAACCACACAGAACCTAGGATTATTGATTCTGGACAACCTGTAAAGGTACCTTCAAAGTCCACAAAAATGATGAGGGCATCGTCTTTAAGGAAGCTCCTCCTTGTCAGCATTTGGTGGGCGATGGCCTGGCTCCATCCCCAGTCTAAGCTCCTGAAACAGCCACAGTCCTCATTGTAGATTCCCACCTTGGATGGTCTGTCCCAGATAACAGAGCCATTTATAGCTGCAGATGGGTGACACACAATCACATTAGCTTTTATGCTTCACTTCACTTCCCATTTTGTCTTTAATGAATACATAGGGGGCTTTGTTACATATACACATGTATGCACACATATACACACATACACACGTACATACAAACACACACATACACATACAGACAGACAGATAGGCATTGAAATAGGCCAGGGAGATGGTTCCGCCAGGGAAGTAGAGGACCTGAGTGCTCCTCCACATTAAAATGTTTTAGAAGCAAGTACGTTGGTGCGTGTTGTACTCCCAGCCCTGCGAAGGTGGTGGTAGGTAGATCCCTGAGGCTCTCTGGCTAACCAGTCTAGATTATGTGGCAAATTCCAGGCCAATGATAGAGTCTTTTCTCAGAAAAAGGTGGATGGGAATTTGGTTTCTAGCTCCAGGGGTCTCAATGCCTCTAGTCTCTGCAAACACCTGCATTTGCATGTACATACTCATACAAGATACACACATACACCTAGTTAAAATAACAATAAAAATAAATCTACAAAATAAAAATGGTGTCTGAGGAATGACACCCAACGTTGTCCTCTGGCCTCCATGAACACATGAACACACAATCACATGCATACACACATACACACAATATATATCAATCAATCAATCTATCTATCATCTATCTATCTCTCTACATATATATGTATATATATATATGCGTGTGTGTGTGTGTGTGTGTGTGTGTACCTGAGGCTGTATGGTCCTTGGAAGTAGTAAACATCAAGCTTAAGGACATCCTGTTCTTGGCATCGGGTTCCTGGTCCAGTATTGTCATTATCACCTGTCTGTTTTCCACTGGCCACTCTAGGATGGCATCATTCTCCCCACTGAACAGGTGGAAAGCAAGTCCCATGTAGCCAGAGTCACTGGCAAGGAGTCTGCCATGAGGGTACAAGGTCACCCCAAAACCATAGCCCTCTGAATTGTAGAACCGAGGGCTCAGGAGTGTTTTTCCTTTCTCTGTGCTCTGAAGGATCTGGGAGATATTTCGTATGGTCCAAACCCCTGTAGGGCAGGGGGTTTCTGTCAGGGTAATGTCATCCAGGTAAATACCCCCATTTGAGTTCTGAGGGTCACCTTTGGTGCCCTGGAAAAGATAGCGAAATTTCTTTTCTTCTTTGAGTGTCACATGGGCAATTTTCCAGTGATGATCGGTGTCTCCTGAAGATGAAAAATAGTGTTTATGAGGGTCAATACCAGCAATTATCCAGCCTGGCATATCAACTCCCTCATCCACTCTCAGAGCAGCCCCATAAAACAGATATTATTACAGACACATTAAGCAACTTTATCAATTCACTTGCTTAGTAAGGAAAATAATTTTTAAACAAGACACAGTATAAGTTTTTACATTAAATTTTAAGTTAGCATACAGAATTGGGTACCACTGCAGTATTTTCATACACGTTACTATACTTGTGTTTACTTATCTTCCTTCGCCATCCCCTTTCTCCTCAACTATGGTTGATTTCACAATTCAAATTCAAATCTTATTCATGAATTTGTTTTTCTCTATTATTTAATGTCACCCATTCCCTCCTGGATTTGCTGGTATTCTGCCATCTTACCAGTACTAAATGTCCCAGTATTCAGCTGTATCATACAAAATACACATCTCAAGTAAAACATGAAATAATGGGTAAATTTCATATGGTTCAACCTATAGCTTGTGGCCAAAAAATCTGCTTGTTCAGACTTTTGTTCATGTTATCGGGCATCCAAAAATGAAGATATAAAGAATCCAGAGTTGCCACAAGCCAGTTATGCATGTCTAAGGGTTGACTACTAGGTCTACTTGCTCTGTTCCTGAGGGTGAACTAGAAATGAGAAGTTTGAATAAAAACCTAGATAAAAATGAGGGGGCTACTCTAGCATATCAGATCTTGAGCTGAACATCATCAAAAGCCAGACAGAAGCCTTGGGGCAGCAGGGAGAGGAAACGCCAGACCAGAGCAACTCAGAATCCCAAGACATATGCAGAGAAATCTAATCTGCAGTGAAGTTGAGGAGAGAGCCTTGAAAGTGTCTTTTTCCCTTGCTTGCATATTCTAGCCAGAAATCTTTTTACAGAACTATAATTTTCCCCAATCTGAAGAGCCTGCTTATCTCTGTTTGTTCTTGGGGCATTCTAAGGATGCACATGGGGACAAGTTCCTCAGGTGGAGCTGGTTATGTGCTGTGTGGTAGGTTGTGTGGTCACATAGAAGGTGGGTCGTGTGCATGGACCACATCAGTAACATGCAAGTCTGTGTAGCTACCATCTACTGACACAGCGTTACAGTCAAGGTGAGGATATATAGACAGGAAATATAATGGGTGACAGAAAGACCTAGAAAAGGGGCAGAGATATAGGTTTGAACCATTTACCCAGCAGGTTGCAGATCATGGAAATTCTGATAAGAGAGTAAAAGTTCATTTCTTGCTACTGGGTAACTGCTTTGACTTTTCTTAATATAGGTTGTGATGGCATGGTTGAAATGTAGGGATATCATAGTAAAGAGAAGACATTAGCGATTACACTACATGGGCAGGGACTCTTATGCAATCACTAAGAAGCTTTCATCTAAGTGAGGTACTTCCCTGAATCAGTCAGGTGATGGTGATACCAAGACTGTGAGACAAACTTCATCCTTGTTGGTTCAGAATTGTCATCTATTGGGGGTCCTGGCCTCAGTCAAAACAAAAGTTTGTGTGTGTGTGTGTGTGTGTGCATGTGTGTACACCTATTCATATTTGCATATAAACAGTTTGCATATAAGCTCATTTAGAAATCTTAAAGCTATATCAATAACTTATGTTATAGACACATTTTTATAAGCATCTGGGTCAACATATGCACTTTGCCAAAGTTAAACTGTACCTCAGAATAATTATAACTATCTTATGTTGAATACAACATAAATACCCAGTGATAATTAACCCGTTAGAAAAATTTCATTAACAAACCAACATTAGACTGGACTGCCTTTAAGACCCCATTTGTATATTCCTAGGGAACTTAGAAAGATGCACTATGGAACTAAGCTCCACACAGCATTGTTTTATGCTTACTGGATAGCATTTTCAGCATGAGGTTGAAGTGTATGATAACTAAACTCATCAATAGCATTGCAATCACAGCACATTTTCATCTGAAATACTCTTGACTTTATTATTTTTATTTTATGTATATGAGTGTATTGCCCGCATGTATGTGAGTGCACCCGTGTCGTGCAATGCCACGAAGGTCAGAAGAGGGCTTCAGATTCCCCTGGAACTGGAGTTAAGGATGGTTTGTAGCCGCCATGTGGGTGCTGGGACTCAAACCCAGGTCCTCTGCAAGAGAAGTCAGTGCTCTTAACCACTGAGCCATCTCTCCAGCCCCAATATTCTTGATTCTTAAAGGGAATATTGCTGCCCTCCTTCTATCATACCAGTGTTAGTTAATTACAGTCAGAACAGTGAACCACCCCCACCCCCAAGTCATGAATACAGAGTGCTTAGGCAGCTGATAGTGGAGTGGTTAGAGGCGACTGGATGCCTAGTCTTCCTAGAGACCTCCAAGGAAGTTTCCTAACTTCAAGAGCAGCAGTCCCTTCTTTCAAAAAAAGATTTGCTTATTATTTATTTCTTTATTTGCATTTTATGTGTATGAATGTTTTGCCTGCATGTATGTAAGTGCAGAATCGGGTATCAGATCCCCCAGAGCTGGAGTTACAGATGGATGGAGTTACAGTTAGCCGCCATGTGGGTGCTGGGAACTGGACCCAAGTCCTCTGCAAGAGCAGCCAGTGCCCATGTAAATTATATTTCCTTTCTCTCACTTTGAGGAATTCTTTGTTGAATGGGAAAAACAAGAAAGTTGTCTCCTTTCCTGGTTCTGAAAGAGTCACCTCCATAACTAAAGACTGTTAAGTATTGAGCTTGGAAGCTCTGGGTTGTGGTTTACAGTCATGATCCCCACATCCTACTGCCAAGCTTAGCAGCTTAGGCTTTCCATTCTGACCATCATAGAAACACACAAAGCAATGCTTAGCAGATAATGTAAATGCTCTTAGTGAGGTTGATACATCAAATGGCTTCAGCTTCCAGCAACTTACAGGCAGATCTCAAGTTACATCAGCATTTTAAATGATGATGCCATTTAGTTTCACAAAACAGATGCAAAAGCAGGTATGGCCAAATATTTAGCTACCCTCCCTCTCCAGCAGCTCAGTCCCTGCATCACTTCACCTTCCTGTCTCCACCTCTGAATCTCCTATTTTCTTTCTCCTGACCCTGGCTTTCTCCAGAGAGCTAGTGAAAATTGGATTTGTGCGTTCATATTGGACTCCTATAAAAGTAGATATAAACCTCACCTAAAACTTCAATGTTGCTTCTGACTTTTGAGTGTTGAAAACATTCTGGTAAAACCTTCCAGATATTATGGCAGACTCCGAAGAGGATGACAGAGCTGGGGGAAGATGAAGAAGTAGAGGAAGGGTGAGAGGAGGAGAAAAGGGGAACAGAGGGGTAGAAAGGACAGAGGGGGAGAAGAAAGAGCACTATTGCCCCAGATTCTCAGTCAATCCAGTCTTTCTGTGACGCCTCTAGGTACCTTGAAAGTTCTGTATCTTGACCAGCTTACGCACATTGCCAGTGCTGTCATCCCTTCTGACCCAGATGGTGAGTCTATCTGAAGGGCTTCCTGTCATTTTGTAAAAAAACTGCAGGCACTGTTCCTTCCTCCTGGGGTACAGGATCCGAGACTCCAGGAGGGCCGCCTCTTCTGCTGACCCGGAGCTGGTATTGAAGAACATGAAGTAGCCGGCACCTGTGGAGAGAGCAGCCCGACAGCCCATTGCCACCTTCCCATACTCTGCACGCAGGACCATCCAACCAACACAAAGTGAAGTAGGGAACAATAGCCACTGTCCAGGCACCCAATGCTGGAACTCTTCCGAGGAACAGAGAAAGAAGCTCATTTGTCTGTGATGATTAATCGTGGTTGTCAACTTGACACACCTGGAAAGAGGGAACCTCATTTGAAGAATCCCCTCCATCAGATTGGCCTGTGGTCATTTTCTTTGAGACAGGGTCTCTCTGTAGCCCAGGCTGGCCTGGAACTCACTACGTAGACTCTGCTGGCCTCTTTCTCATAGAACTCCACCTGCCTCTGCCTCTCAGGTGCTGGGATTGAAGGTGTGTACTACCACCTACCACATTAAACTTGGGGCATTTTCTAATTGATGTAGGAAGGTCCAGCCCACTGTGGGCAGGTGGACCTGGACTGAATAAGACACAAAGCTGAATGTGTACCTGTAAACAAGCTGGTGAGCAGTGTCCCTTTATGGTTCCCCCCTCTGATCCTGCTTGAGATAGTGCCCTGACTTCTCTCAATGATAGACTGTGACCTGAAAGCATAATAAATAAATCCTTCCCTTCCCAAGTTGCTTTTTGGTCATGGTATTTATCACAGCTACAGGAAGCAAAGTAGACCATCTGTAAACATTGGTCTCAATGAACATAGTTACTAGCTACTAGCTAATGCCAATGCTTACATCTCATTTTTTTTTTTTTTTTTTTTTTGAGGACAGTCTTAGTATACCCCAGCCTGGTTTTGAACTCATGATCCTCCTGGCTGAGCCTCTAGAATGCCGGGACTACAGATGTTCCCAATTTGTACATCTCCTTTGATTGTCTTTGTTCCCATCTGTGAAATACATACCTCTGCCTTAAAGGGGCACAGGTTTCAATCAAAATTTGATGAAATCTGGTGTTGTGAGATGAATTCTATTTCCTTACTGGCTTCACTGTCTATAAACTAAAGATTCATTTTACAGAAAAGAGTTGGTATTTTTATTGTATAAGAAGTGTTTCAAAAAAACAAAAAAAGAATGTTTGAGGTTTGGATTTTAAATATTTAAATATTTAAAATATTCACTATGATAAAGTTTTGAATGACTATCTCTAACCAAATAACTGGATGTATTACCAGTGGGAAACATCATCTCTACTGCTCCATAAAATTGTGTATTAGGGGGCCAGAGAGCTGGCTCAGTGGTTAAGAGCACTTAACCTGGGTTCAGTTTCCATCACCCACATGGCAGCTGATGACCATCTGTAACTCAAGTTCCAGGGGGATCTGATGCTCTCTTCTGATCACCTCAGCATTTCATGACATGGGTGCACTTAGATATACATATATATATAGGCAATATACTCAGACACATAAAAATAATAAAATATTTTTAAATGCGCATTCAAAACATATTAGGGGCTGATTAAGGCTTTTACCTGAATGTAGGTTAAAGCTTTGAACTAACACTGAAAAAGGTGAAAAGTCTAACTTAGTTTTAGAACTGGGGTTTGCCTACCCCTGTACATATGGGTCTGTCACTAGAGATTTTGTAGGCACTATCTTCTTCCATCCCTCTACAAAGTATTAATATCTTGATGTTCAAGGAGTATTACGAATGCAAAGACTTCTTAAGAAAAAGCACACACAATCAGAGCAATTTCTTGTGATCACAGTTAATTATGAAGCCACATTTCAAACATAGGTCTGTCTGACTTTTGGTGTTTTTCAATACCCAAAGCAAATACAGGTACCAGGTATACTGGCATCAGACAGTTTAAACTGAAAGGGCAAAATACACATCATAATTTTTTTTAATTATAAAAAGCTAATAATTTCCATATTGATTACGTGCAATTATACTATTTTGATATATTTGATTGAATAAAATATATTATCAAAATAAATTTCATCTGTTTCCCTTTAACCTTTTAGGTGACCACTGTAAGATTTTACTTTATACATGTGGTTAACGTTACATTTGGCTGGCATTACATTTCTATTAGAGGGTACTGCTCTAGAAAAACTACCCCCACTTGAAGGCTGAGATCTTAGCAGAGAGCCTGAGAGGGTGGGTTTTAGCCTCCATCAGTGTAGTGGCTCTGATCTCAGCAGACCGCCAGAGAGTGCTGAGTTCTGGCCTTCCTCTGACCTCCCTCTGGCAGAAGGCCTGAATACATAGGGGACTGCCTCAGAGCTCCTGCATTCTGCCTCCACATGGTGGTGAGCAACCTAACTGCGCCATATCCATCCGCCTACCTGGGATTTTGTGAAGCCCTTCCTAAGACCCCAGGGCAGATCTGGCTTTGGTAGGCAAAGGCTGAGATCCTAGAAGACAACCTGACAGAGTAAACTGCCTGAGAGGGTCCAGGTCCTGCCTCCACGTGGTGAAGAAAGCCTGAGTGCACCTGACTGGAATCTGAATTGGGCTTCTGTGGGTACTCCTGAATAGCTGATCTGAAGCCATCAGTTCCCTCCAAAATAACCCTGAGAGAACCTGAGCCAACAAACTTTACATAACCAATAAAGAAGGGATCTAGGCACCCAGATAATACAAACAGAAGCATACTTCAAGATAATTCTCATATCAGAATCATAACCAACAAAAGAAATTCACATGCCAAAATCACAATGAAAGAATAACAAAATAGAAAGCCAAAACAGCCAAAACAGTATGTCCCCACTAAACTAAACCAATCCTGTAGAAGAGTTCTATAAGGACAACCCCCTAGAGATAACCCAGGACACTGAATTTAAAAGAACAATCATAAACATGATCAAGGAATTCAATGAATTTAAAGAACATAAACAAATCAAAGAGCTAAAAGAAGCTAGGGATAAACTTCTGAATGTATGACTAGAAACACTGAAGAAAACTCAGGCAGAAATGAAGATGGAAGGGTAAACTCAATAAGCCAACTTGAAACAACAGGGGAAAACCTCACCTCCAGAATGAACGAAATGGAAAACAATATCAACACTGGAGGATAAAGTTGAAGAATTGGACCACTCAAGCAAAGATTATGGAAAATTTTAAAAAGCACAGGAATGGAATATGCAAGAGATGTGGGACACCACATGAAAAGACCAAATCTACGGATCATAGGAATAGAGGAAGGAGAAGAATTTCAGATTAATGGTGTTGACCAGATCTTAAACAGGATCACAGAAGAGAACTTTCCAATATTAAGGAAAGACATCCCCATACAAATACAGGGAGCACATAGAACACCAAATAGACAGGATCAGAAAAGAAAATCCCCATGACACATCAGAACAAAGAGATAATACTGAAAGTCAGCAAAAGAAAAACAAGTCACACACAAAGGAAAGCCCATCAGAATTACAGCTGACATCAGTGCAAACTATCAAAGCCAGAAGAGGCTGGACTGTGGGAGATCACGCTGCCTGGCAGCCCTCCCTGCCCCCCAGGGCAAGCAGCCTCCGGAGAACTTGCTGATCAGTCCTCCCTGCCCCCTAAGATAAGCAACCTTTCCGATGACTCAAGATAAGCCTGAGCAACCACCAATTTCCTTACCCTGCAGCCAGACTCACGGCGCCAGTTCCCCTCATCCTAAGGGACATTCATTAACCCATTGAGACAATACCTCCCCTTCCCCTTCCCCAGCTAATTTCCTGCTTCAGCCCATATAAGAATCCCCGTGGAAAAATAAACTTTTGCAGCTTGATCAGAGTTCTTTGTCTTGCTGTCATTCTTCGTGTCTCTTGTCCCATCATTCCAGGTCCCTGGGAGTCTCCATCTCCCGCCCTGCAGGACGGGGCAATGGACCAAGGTATTTCCAGTTCTACATGACAATAGATGTCAGCCCATTACCCAGCAAAAATGTCTATTATAGTTGAGGGGGAAAGAAAAATTTTCCATGACACGAAAAGCCTGAAAGAATACATATCCACAAAACCAACCCTTCAAAGAATACTTGAAGTAATACAGAGAACAGAGAGAGAAACAACTATACCCTAGGGGCAACAAAAGAAAATAAAGGTGTAATCTAAGAAACACAAAATTACACAGAGAACACAAACAGCAATCAAAATGATGGCAACCTTTTTTTTTCTTAAATATCAATGGACTGAACTCCACAGTCAAAAGACACAAGTTAAGTGAATGGATTAAGAAACAAAATCCATCTATTTGCTGTCTGCAAGAAACCCATCTCACCTTCAAAGACAGGTACTACCTTAAGGTAAAAGGATGGAAAAGAATATTCCAAGCAAATGGCACTAAGAAACAAGCAGGGGTTGCAATTCTAATATCTGACAAAATAGACTCCAAAGTAAAACTAATCAGAAGTGATAAGGAGGGTCATTTCACTCCTCATCAAAGGAACAGTTAACCAAGAAGATATTACAATCCTTAACATATATGCACCAAACTCTGGTGCACCCAATTCATAAAAACAACACTACATACAGGACTTTAAGACACAGATTAACCGCAACTCAGTAATAGTAGGGGACTTCAGTACCCCACTGTCTCCATTAGACAGGTCAACTGGACAAAGAATTAACAGAGAGACATATGAAGTAAATGATACTATATATCAAATGGACCTAACAGACATCTTTCAAGTATTCCACCCAAGCACCAAAGAATATACTTTCTACTCAGAACCCCATGGAACTTTTTCAAAAATTGATCACATATTGGGCCACAAAACAAACCTCAACAAATACAAAAAAAAATTAAAATAATCCCATGCATTCTATCAGACCACAATTCAATAAAGCTCAAAATCAACACTGGACAAAGCCCTAGTTACTACATAAACTTGTGGCAATTGAACAACATAGTCCTAAACAATGAGTGGGTCAATGAAGAAATTAAGAAAGAAATAAAAGAATTCCTGGAATTCAACAAAAAGGACAATACAATGCATCACAACCCCTGGGACACATTAAAAGCAGTCCTAAGAGGGAAATTTATAGCTTTAAGTGCCTACATTAAAAACTTAGAA